TCTGATCTCTTTATAGTCTGAACACCTGAAGTTTTCTCTGCTTGTCCCGTATAGCTGTTCAGAGAAATAAATTTCTGCCTGTGGTAAGCGATGGAGCCAAGTTCCTTCTGAATCTTTTATTTTAGAGTACATTGCAAACATTGTTTCATCTGTATGTCACCCACTGTGCAGTGTCTGTAGGTCTGCTGCCCTCTCTCTTCTTTCATTCATAATTCCCTTACTACTTCCCATGTGGCTGCCAGCATCAGTTTTCATGTGATCTGCAGGATGTCTCATGGGAAATCTGGGAGGATTTACTCCTATTTGAACGAGGCTATGATGCCTTCCTCTCATTCTTAAATCTGTTGGAGTAAATTTTTGCACATAAAGATTTTTCCTTTACCACGAGTGAGCAAGTTGGTTATTTGCAATGATGTCATCTCCTTTCTGAGTGGGCAATGTCTCATAGCATGGGGTCTCCAGCATTTTAATTAGTTATCTACCTTGACCTTTACTTGAGAAGGATGGCATGAAAGAGAACGGAACCTCTTGGGTCACCAAGTAAATGAAGGGATTTCAATCATCTGAAAATACCTTTCTGAAGTAAACACAGGAAAGGTTTGTTTTGTGTACCTTATCGGAATGCCATCCTTACCTCAGAAAAAACTATAGCTTTGGCAGTGTACCTCTTAAGTAGTCCACTCCGTGTGACGTTAAATGATGTTACAGGCATTCCCTTCAGATGAGGAGAAATTTCTGGTAACTGTTTGCTAATATCCACCTCCTGCCTGCTTTGTTAAAGAAGACAATTGTTGGATGATGATATCCTTTACACAGGGTTTAACTCTTTCCATTTGAACCTTCTGTGTCTGATTGTATGTCACTACGTGTACACTGTCACCACTACATGGTTCTCAGGGGTTTTAATATTTCCTGCAGGTGCTCGTGTTTGGCTCTTCATTGGCTTTATGCTGATGTTTGGTTCTCTTATTGCTTCAATGTGGATTCTTTTTGGAGCATATGTTACACAGAGTAAGTTTCTTTATTGATTAGTTTTAGAAATGGGCTGCACTGCTTTCTGGAAGTATCATCAAGTTTGATGTGAAGTATTCTGCTTCAGCTTGGTGTATATCTTGTGATATGATGGTTTGTTTATTAGCTTTATTTTCCTAAAGATTGTGAATATGAAAATCTGTAATCTGTTGGACCCTTCATAGTCTCTTACTGTATAGATTTGAGCATTGCTTGATGAAATTGAAGTTAGGAACTACCACAATGAACCATTTTAAACAGTCCAGATATATATAAGTCTTCTGTATAAAATAGAGACATTGGTATCTGTGGTTGTTATTCAGGAACTGCTACCAAGTACTGTTCTAAGAAGAAACAAAGCAAAACCAAAAAACAACCAAACGCAATGCCCAAACTCTTGATTGAAATCTAAAAGTGTTTTAAAAATTACAGTTTGTCTTCTGGTATTGAATTTTATTTTAGGATATAGAAAATACTTTTGCTGAAAGACAGAATATCCAGAAGAATGGAAGTGTGGTCTGTCCTTTCTAGAGCAATGCCACCTGGTTTTCTTGTTGTTGATGAGTGTTTTGGAAACCCTTTTCTGCACAAAAAATCTTAGTATTTCCTTTGTTACTTACTTTGCAGATATTAATGTTTACCCTGGATTAGCAGTGTTTTTCCAGAATGCATTGATATTTTTCAGGTAAGATACCTGGGTCAGTTTCCTTCCTTTTAGAGGAGTATTGCACACACCTGCTTTCATCTGCATGGGTACCTCTGGAAAATTAATTCTAAACAAAGCTCACAGCAGACTTGATCTTCAGCAATGTGGAGCTCTGCTAACAGTGCAGACCTCGCATATTTCAGTTAATTACCCGCTCTGATCTTTGCTTGAGGAGTGAAGCAAGTGAGGCAGAGAACACTTGGGTCACAGAGTAAACTGGCATGATATAGAGAACTGATGTGATGATATTAGTCATTTTATAAACAGATCCAATTATTACTTTTCTTACTTTGCTATCACTTACTACCCTGTTTGCTCCAGTGCTTAGAAGCAATTCTTTAATTACTCCTTCTCAGAGACAGAGTGCTGTTCAGAGATTCCTGTTCTTGTTTATAGAATCATAGAATGGCTTAGGTTGGAGGAGACCTCAAGGATCATCTAGTTCCAACCCCTGACATGGTGCCCCCCAGCAGCTCAGGCTGCCCAGGACTCACCCCATCCAGCCTGGCCTTGAGCACCTCCAGGGATGGGGCAGCCACAACCTCTCTGAGCAATTTGTTCCAGTACCTCAACACTCTCTAAGTAAAAAGTTTCTTCTTAACATCTGAGTTTCTTCTCTTTTATCTTCAAGCCGTTCCCCTTTGTCCTATCACTATTAGGCTACGCATAAAATGTCAGTTCCCCTCCAGCTTGTAAGCTCCCTTCAAGTACTGGAAGGCCACAATGAGGTCTTCCTGGAGCCTTCTCATTTCCAAGCTAAACAAGCCCAACTCCCTCAAGCTTTCTTTACAGGAGAGGTGCTCCAGCCCTCTGATCGTTTTCGTGGCTCTCCTCTGGAGCCTGTCCTACAGCTCTGCTTATTCTTGTACTGGGAGCCCCGGGCTTGGACACAGTACTCTGGATAGGGCCTCACAAGGACAGGGTAGAGAGGGACCATCACCTCCCTCTCCCTGCTGGCCACCCCTCTTTTATTGCCATCCAACCAATTCTTTATCCACCTAGCAGTCCAAGCCTTGTTAGTCCAGTTCTTTCTGGATTAGAATATGTATGACTACGCAATGACACTTTTCTGGGAAATATTCAGTGTCTATGACACAGTGGATAATGGCAATATCATCTCTGTACAACAAATATCTTGGCATCTGTCCTGCCAGCAGTAGATGAGACATCCTATTGTCTTTTTCTTGACTATTTCATAGTAATGGCTAGCTTATCTAATACCTGATAGACTTAGATTTGTTCCTGCTGGGTAAAAGTTCCCAGAACGTTCTCTGAATTATAAACTTCCTCTTTTGGAAGTTCTTACCCACCGAAGTTAGTGTGCCATTTTCCTTCTAGTACTGTGTTAAATGCTGGGCAGTGATCCCTATTGACCGACTCTTCTATGGCTTTGTTTGGAAAACCAGTTATGTTCTTGTGCAAAATAGCAGCTCCTAAATCTGTTCTGTACTCTTGCATGACTAAAGTCAAGAAGCAGGAAAAAAGATCCTAATGTGAATAAAAGTTAAGATTGCTGGAAAGACATTAATTTTTGTGGTGTAAACAGTGTAAGATTGTATGTTAATTATTAAAATGCCCTTTTAATGTATGGCCTGATTTATTTTTTTTTTCCCCTTTCTTCTTCTTCAGTACTCTGATCTACAAGTTTGGAAGAACAGAGGAGTTATGGGGATGAGAGATCACAATACAGCATTGTCTATTCCATAGTTGCTCTGTTGTACTCTGTATGTAGATATTTACGTTTATTTGTTCTCGTTTTGCTTTCTAAATTGTATGAACTGAGACAAACTACAATTTCTGTAATAAGCTCCCTCTTTTCATAGGACAGATTTGTGAATATGTACATATGACTGTATATATCTTAAACAGGGAAAGTCAGGCTTTCTGAAATCTTCAGGCTTCTTTCTTCAAATACATGAGTTTCCATTTGACTGTTAAGACTCGATCTTCCAAACCTTCACACATGTGAGAGGCTTCAGTTGAAATGCAAGTGAATAAGCAGGATGGAAGGGGTTGGTATCTTTATGCATAGGTGAGCTATTGCTGATTATTAAGAGCTGACCGTAAGGGCTGCTTGTGTACCTGGTGGGGAGTGGTAGCTCGTGGAAGTGACCCTTTATATCCTGAGGGTAAATTGTACTGTATGCTGAGTTAAGGGTTGAGTTTTATATTTTTCTGAACGGTTATATCCAATTAAGTAGCTATTTTTTGGTAAAAGGTTGTGAGTTTTTAAACAAGACCCTATTTTAAGTAGGTTCTGCATGACCAATCCAACTGTACTTGATTACCATTGCACAAGTGAAACTTGGTAGCAGCACAGAATTTATTTCTTGCTGTTCAGTGTAATAGATGCCAATCAATATTTATTGTATATACTAGAATTTCAAAAACCCTGCAACTGCTGCCAATTGTCATTAGGGAATAGAAAGAATAGGTGAGAATCAGATTGACAGCTTAAAATTATGCTCGAATAGATTTTCTTCAGGGGAAGCTTTTTGTTGAGAAATGAGTGGTTCTGCTGCCACCTATTACTACCTTAGGTAATGGAACAGGTGAGTATTTCAAATGGGAATATAGCAGACTGTGTTATTGCTGAGTCTTACCTTGAAATAAGTGCCAGTTTTAGGACTGTCATTTGCCCTAGTTAAAATGTATTTATATTCCAAATTTCACAGGTATTTTATAGGGTATTTTATAGGAATGTGTTCACTACTGGAATCCATTTTCTTCCAGTTGGAATATACAGAAAGGGAGAACAGCAGTGTTTTATGGCTTTGGACTGATGTTGTATATTCATCTTGCTGTTGGTGACTTCCTTGTAAGTTCTATGTGTTTTTAAAGCAGTTGAATCTACCTTGTGTCTGAAAGCTTTTATAACTTTCCGTGTATCAAGATTGCTGACCAAGTGGCATTAAACTTCAGAACATAACTTACGTGCATGGTTACTGCATACCCTTAGTCATCTAATTGCTCCCTTGGGGGAATCTTTCCAGTGAACAGAATATGAAGCAAATACTGCAGCTGAAACTGTGCTACTGGCTAGACTAACTTCCATCCTCATTTTGTCATCCTGTTGTGAGTTACCATATATTCACTGGTGTTAATCACAGCTTTGTACATATATTGTCTGGTTGGTTGTAATTCCAGAAAAACTGCAATAAACTTTATTTTACGTTCTCCAAATAATGAACATCACCAGGTAATTGGGCAGTAGTAGTCTACTGAACAGCTGAAATGATATGGACTTTTAAGAAAGTCTTCCAAAACCTAATATTTAAAACCAAGGTTTGTGTTTTCATTTCTCCCACGTTCTCATACAGGAAAATGGTTGTTGGCTTTTCTACTAAGTGAGAAACAAAGATAGCCTCTAACTAATTCCAGTCTGACATCTGACACTTGAACAGCACAAATTGAGGTAAACGCTCCACTCTCGAAGAACTCTTCCAGTGTGTGTTACTGTACGTTTCTAGTTAAGAAACTTTTATTTAAGAGTACCCAGCTCGCAAAGAGCTTCTTTCTGAGGTTACCTCTGTTTTCTGCCGGAAGCTCACTTGCTGTCTGCATAGCTGCTGATAAGACACTGTAGAAGCTGCATCCCTTCCAGCAGCTGAAACTCAGAATGTAGTTGGTGTAAGAACCACGCAGAGAACATGAACATGTATGAATGTTATTCAGATTAACCCTAGATCTTTTACACTATGGATTGTTCCAGCAGAGTCCAAGATGATGCGGAGTTGCACATTGTAGGTTACACCTTGGCTTGCTATGGTTGGCAGTTATGAAGCTAATCTTTGAGCTCACCCTAACAGTTTTTGTTTTGGTGGCCTATTTGTACAACTAAGAAATATTAAACATCCCTCTGTAACAGAAGTCTAGTACATAGTCTCTGTAGTACAGTGTACTTAGCAAGTTGTATTCTGTACTGCCAGATATTCACCTGAGGTGCATAAACAGCTATTTATGTCCTGCCTTATGCATGTAGGCTGTTCCTGTGGGGAGCCTGTGGTTATCTGTTTACATTACCACGTGCAAAAATATAGATAAAGGGAAGGAGCAGATACTCTAGCTTGTGGCTGATTTGCAAGTTCTTAATGGGGCTTGAAGCTAAGTCTTCAGGTAAATCTACTGTCTTGGCATGGTGTGTGATCTAAGGGATTAGATTACTTCTACTAGGACACAGACAGAGCATGCTTTGGCAAATACTGCTTAATTTTGTCACTAGTCGTGTGCGTTCCCAGAAGGGAGGGAACAGCAGTAGCTGAGATAACTTTTAGCTGTGGCACTGACTGATAACCTGCATCTGTTTCAGCTGCATACTCCATTAATAGGTCAGAATCCAAGAAAGCCACATGCAAACAACCAAGCACATTAATTTTATTTTTTAAAACAAAACTTGTATCAAACATGAAAAAAGTTACATTTTTTAATGGAATAAACCCTATATTTTTACTATAGAAGAGATTACTTCTGTGTTATGAGACACCTTCCAGATCCCATAGGATTATGACATAAGGCTAATTTGTGATCTGCTGTTTCTGCTTTGAGGTACTGAAACCACAACTTGCAGTCAGCCTGGCACTTACGCAGCTGGGCTGCTAGTCAACAAGAGATTGTTAGTGTCTGACCATTATCAAGATATTTTATATAACTTCTGAGCAAAATAAGTTTTACTGCTGTGAAGAATATGATTGGCTCACTGAAGGAACAGATTAATGCTTTTTATCACTGTGTTCACATTTTTATCACAGTGATGCACAGATCCAAGGGAGATGGAATTAACTGCCCTTTGCCTTTCTTGGAGTAGTTCTTTGCATGTATTCACAATGAGGAGGATTAAGTACCATGATGTTTCTTTCTACACTGTCATTTTTGGCTGAAGCAGCAGTCATGGAAGACAAATTTGAAGACAAATTGGGAAAGCTTATTGGATTGGATATAATACACTCAAAGTAAAGGACAACACAGACTTCACAAATAAAATAACAAAACAAAAGCCACTATAAAATTATTTAAAAATTCCTCATTACACTCAATAAAGTGCCATTACTTCTCAAAGCTGGGCTTCAGGAGGAGGAGGGAGAAATATGATGATGTCATATTGTAGCCAGCTGACTTTCTTAAGGCAATTTAGTGTTCATTTTGCCTTCAAATTCCACCCTTCTAGTCTGTAGCAGAAAGAACATTGTTGCTGCTGTAGCACAGCAGAAACTGCTTTAAAAAAGGCTCAGGCTCCACGTTATTCTCAGGAAGTCTTGCTCAGAATTTGTTAGTGGCTGCGCTTTGTCCAGAGCTCATTGTCTGTCCCGCTGGGAGCTGAGCAGCACCGCTTGCAGGCAGGAGCTTCTGCAAAAACTGGATACAAGTGTTCTCACGAAGGTGCCACCTAAGTTACATCACAGCCGCTGGAGCTGCTGCATGAACAAGTGTTACCATCCAACATGTCACCATATGCGCTGCTTCCTTCTCCCGTATACACAACTGTTACAGAATCTTGGGGATCTTCATCGTGATTCTCCAGCACCTCTAAATGAGGCATGCTAGGGTCTCTCAAATACTGGAAAATAGCAGAAATGACAGTTTAGCTACCAATCCACAGAACAGGTATATTAGAAGTGACAGAGCCAGAGCAAGTACTACTGGCTATAGGCTTTGTTGTTTTAGAACAGAATTCAAAATACTAATTAAATGTATATTTATTTTAGTCTGGATTTCCTTGAAGGAGATAAGAACCGAATAAGGAGAAGGTTAAAAATGCACCACTTCTCTTTCCAGAGAAATAAATAAGTAGACATCCATTTAAGTGAGTTAAAAACATCCCACCATTACCTATTGTTGATAAGCTTATCTTTGGACAATATGTCAGTTCAAAGTCCTACAAAGGAATAAACCACAGAAGAGTTTTTTTTCTATTACACTGCTGGGGCCACGCCCTATAGCTGCAGGAATCTGGCAACTGATGGCTTGGGCAAGTGAGAGAGAAGATTCTGCCTTGTTCAGCATGAGATAAATCAGAACTGCACCCTTCATTGTCATCAGAAAACTCTAGTGTCATTCTTCTCTTATAGTTACTATTTGCTTTGACATTCCCTTGGCCTCCTTGCCTCCAAAGTTAAGTTACCAGTGTTACACTAAATATATGAAACTTAATCGCAAAGAGGAAGATCAGAAAAAAAAAAAGAAGCCAGAGAAAAGGATTTGTTCTTCTTAACTCTGTGTACTCTCCTGCTTACTAAACAGACTCTGTGTTTCAGAGAGAACGTTAGGAATGTTTAAGAATTTGGAATATATGCTGAATGAGAACTTTTAAATTAAGAACTGTGCTTAAAGACTACTTCCTGTTTAAAAAGAGGAAGATCAACAAGACTGAGACAACAACTCTACTAATGTAGAGAACTGTGTTAGCTGGAAGGAGAAAAAGTCCCAGGGTTCACGGTCTCTTGCAAGAGGAGGTGGAGGGGGAAGAGAAACAAGATGTCTACACGTACCTCTTCAAAGTGTGATGGGATTCTTAAAGGTGGCTGAGACAAATATTTAATTGCTTTCTGGTGTCTCCATAAGCAAAAGAAACCAGCTATTATGCAAATTAAAAGCAGACCGACGGACATAAATATTACTACAATATATCCAACTTTGGCCGCCTCTGAAAAAGAACATACGGTAGGTTCATATTTGTACAGCTCATGTAAAGCAACAAGCTGACATTTGCTGTTTATGGTAGTCAAGCTTCTAAGGCTAAGGTCACAACCCTGCCACAGATGCACTCTAAATACCTATGCTGAGAAGTAGCTCGGTGGTGATTCCATACAGAAATCACCAGCACTGTCCCCCTGTGCACACAGTCTAATGCAAACTTCTATAAGACATGCTAGCAGGGCAAATGCAGCTGGAGGAGTCACTGCTGGTGGGCAGAAGGCAGACAGGGAATGCAATCTGCCCTTCTTCCACCTTTGTTTTTTGGTTAAAATACCATTAATGCCAGGGGCTTCAGAACATTTTTCCCTTTTCCCTTCAGCAAAAGAAGCACCGCTGACTCCAACATCACATCTTGGGGGCTTGTCATCAAGTACCTGAACTTGGTCAAAACTAGCAGGGAGGTCAGCTCCTGGGGGCACCAGAAACTGCAGCGACTGAGAATAAGGACAGCTGGAAGAGTGTAACAAAAACCATCAACTACTGACTAAACCATTACTCATTAATTTGGCATTAATGACAATTATGAATTGTTAGCTACGGTACCCTCTTAATACTCCTGACAAATAGAGGTATATAACCAGTTACACCACCTAACGTCCTACAACCATCCTATCATATAAGCAAAAGAAAAAAAACAGGATTATACCGCTGATGGTTGTTCTGTAACACTCCGGGACTGTTTGCAGTCCAAGCAACTGGAAATCTAAATATGTCATCAATTCTACTCGAATTGTAAAACAATAAAGTGTCAATTGCTTCAGATCTTTGATTTTGAATAGTGTATCACTTGTCTTTATCTCCTGTTAAAAGAAAAAAAAAGGATATAAATGTTACTGAAAGAATCAGAGCCTGGCTTCAGTGCAGTTCTCCTCCCCTTATTGAAGTTTCTCATTCAAAAAAGGACAGTTTTCTTAGCTCAGCTTTCCCTAACGTATCTAGAGAAATCATGTAATACGATCAAGTAGGAATGTTGAAACGTATTTGAAATCTCTTTGTTTTTAAATGAAATACACTCAACCATTTAAAACCTACTCACAAGGGTACGAACAGCAAGGTCTCACTTTAACCACACCACGCTGCCAGACGCTTTCACACAGCTGCTGTAACTCTGGCAGTTCATGCAAGGCAGGAAGGGGGAAGGAAAAGGGAGCCATGAGAAATGTCTCCACCATCAGAGGCTGACAGAAGCACACTGAAGTGCAGCGCTTCCGCTATTCTGCTGAGGGGAAAAAAAACTGATAGGCAGTGTAAAATATCCATGCTTCTGCCAAGACTGAGCTTTTTAACCTGCGAGGGCTTCAGGGAAGCCTAAATAACCCTCCAAGAGTGACATCTCATTTCACTCTCAAATATTTGATCCGCGTCAAAAACATGTGTGTCTAAGGGAGGAAGGAAGTGGAGGCGTTTCAGATTTAGCAAGACCTTTAAAACAGAAGGCTTGAAATGATTTTTTTTCTGCTTTTTTTCAGCAATCGGCTTGAAAATGACATTCTTGTGATTCTTCTTCCTTTTTCATTTTTACTTTTACATTTTTGAAAGGCAGAGGCATGGGCATACTACGAGGCAGATCAAACCCACTGAGTCTCAGTGCAAATGGGGAAAGCTCTTCCCAACTATATCCAACATGTTTTGAAGAACTCCAGCCTTTCTCTGCCCTGGGAACACAGGCATCAGCAGCCTGTCACTGAAGCTGCCAACACAAATATTCCCTGAAAGTAGGAAGCATGTCCCAGAATTTCCAAATTGCCTAAACAAACTTTGGAATTTAAATATTATTTGAAAGCCACCTTTGATACTCTGCAGATTCTCTCCTTGGAGCTGCAGTGTAATTTAACCTTGATTTCATATGGAGGAAAAAAAAAACTGTGTGAAAGTTTTGTAGTACATGCATTACTTGTGCCAGAACCAGACTAACTTACATTCAAGTCACCAAACGATGACCTCTGCTCTCAAAAAAACATTCATTTTCTTCCTCCATATCTGTTGCTTTGCCAAGAAATACTGACTCATCTCTTAGTCATAGAAGCATTAAGAAGAAAACAAATCAGAATTCTTACTTTTTTAGTAGTAATTGTTGTGTTCTCCCAGTAGGACACATGATACTGGAAAAGGTAACCTGCCTCAGGTCCAAAAGGAGGTGCGACACTAATGAGAAGGGAGTCAGAGCTTATAGTCACACTGTTCACTTTAGGAGGCCCTATGGTAGCTGAAAAGAAACAGAGAAAGAGCAGTGAACCTGTGGGATGCTGAACAGCTCATCATACTACATATTACATTATGCAGGCTGGATGTGGCTCTGGGCAGCCTGGTTTGGTATGGCTGGCGATCCTGCGCATAGCCAGGGACTTGAAACTAGATGATCATTGTGGTCCTTTTCAACCCAGGCCATTCTGTGATTCTATGATTACATCCAGCTTTATTTAGCTACTCTTACGGTACTCAGCAAACACTGAATGTCAACATTTTTTTTTCTCTCAAGAAAGGGAACGCAGCATTTTTTCAACCACTTAATGCTCTCCTAACCCACCAAGGGATCCCACTCTTCCCCTGCACAAACAATCCTGCATCACAAGTTATGGATACATCAACTGTAACCTTCAACTCAGGACTCTGGCAATTCCTTACCCCTGCATTCTTTACTACCAGGGAAAATACATTCTTTCCAGCATGGAGCACCATTACCCATCGCAAAGTACAGGAAAAGGCAAACCAAAGACTTTGTAAACCCATTCTTCTGCCTCTTTATTATTTTGAGGGGTTTTCTAAAACTCTACATTTATCTTCTCCAAATCCTGAGACCAATCACAGTAAGGAATAGGGCAGATCTCATAAAGAACAGTAACATGCTTGTCCACACGTCTAATATGATTTAAAGTGTGTCCTTCACCCTTCTGCTTCATAGTGAGGGCAGGACAGCTAGATTTGTTAGAAAAGAGATCCGTTCAACACAAACAGACAGTTTATACGGAAACTGCCACAAACGACAGGGGTGCATGTGATACAGGCTGTAACTCTTACAAGGTTTGACCATCCAAGGAAACTCATCAGTAACATGTTTCTATCTCAATACCTGTTGAAGGAATGGGCTGCTAATGCCAATGCTGAGGAACTGATGGAGATCAAATTCCTAGTAATACACAGAGACCTTGCACCATTTGCTAACCAATCACCTACAGATCTCTCACTTAGCTCTTTCACATAACAGTAAAAAAAAAATCCTACAACACTTAACAAGTCTCCCTAGAGAGACGTACTGACATCACAAAGAACACTTACTGTTTCTCTCTGCCACAAACGGGTCTGTTTCTACCCAGGCTGAAGTCCTTGGTCCCATTTCAGCCCTCACACGCAGAACAATTGTCCAGCGACGTGCTTTTGCTAACTGGAGGAAACTGCACTCAGTCTGGATAATACGGGTGCAGTTTATCTCACTCCAGTGGTTGTAGGCACCTCTGCAACACAAACCAAAGGATAACCAGCTATCAAAGCTCTAAAATAAACCCCCTCCTACTCAGAGGGTTTTTGTAAGAAAAGGGTGTGTAACAAAACAACTGCTTTCACAAGCATTTATTCTACAGCCCTTTTAATGCCTGCATCTCTTCAGCACTAGGAAAAAAAGAGCAAGGGAGAATTCAGCAAAGTGAGAATTACACAAGAAACTACGCAACATTTCTGGACGCTCTTTGAGTCTTCAATCTTTACTCAATGCAGTGGAAACAAGAGAAGCTACAAGAATCTCTGTCTTTGGAAGATACTTTTGGATATACATAAAAACATCTGTAATAAGCAGCTCATACTTTCATTTCTATGCTTTTTTTATTCTTAGTATATTTTTAGATCAAATTTGTTACCGGATTAAAGCAAAATAAGTTTGGTTGCCTCTCAAACTGTTTGCTTACGTTTTAAGCTGGACTGTGTAGGACACTGAGCCTCCATCCACTTGAACAGGAGACCACCTCAGGGAATTACGAAAGTTAGAGGAATAAACTGTTACATTCTTCGGTGCTGGCAGATGTGGAGAAGCTTCTAAAATAAGAAGAGAAGTAAAAGCAATTACTACAACATTTAACTACAGTGCTACCTTTCAGAAGAGGCGTAGTGGCAGGATCTTAACGTCCCTCACACACAGGAAGGAAACCGCACAAAAAAAAAAAACTTGCATTAAGCCCTAAGTCCCAAATACAAAACAACATTTTATGCTCAAGTTTTAATTAGGTATTTTACTAGTTTCTTAGCCTCAGCTTTCATGTAGTACTCTTAAATAAACACACATCACATTATGCTGCACAGGGACCATTCCGCTTTGCAAACTGAGATTCTTCACAATTACAAATGGTAGGCAAGCTATTAATCTCTGCTGTGCTCTAACGGTTAGTTAGAAACTTTCATTTGAGAAAAAGTTTTCACTTTCTAGTCACTTCTGGCAACCTCAGCACTGGTCTGGCATGTGGCGGGGTATCTCACACCATCAGCAATCTGTGCAGTCTGACACCCCATACAAATTAATCGTACAAAACTCAAGGCTGCCACCACAAAATACAACTAGCCACAGCAGTATTCTTTTCTCCCTCTTAAAAAAAAAAAAAGAGTAATGAAGGATGAGGGACACTCGTTCACATTCTCTGCTCTCAGGACCACATGCTCATTATTTTGCCTTACATTAGCACACGGACACAGATGATTTCCCCTACCAGCTTCTGAAAACATTGACAGCAGTCTCAGACTTAGGGCTCTATCAAACTGCCACGTGCCGCAGAGTGCTCACTGCTGTGCTGGAAGGAGGTTCTGCAGCACAGTTTGTATTTTAATTAGCTACCAGGAATGTTGCTGACATTCCTGAAATCACAAACTGAATTCTGTAACAGCCATCAGCTTGTAGTACCGAGATACCAAAATCTACACTTCAAAACAGAGGATCTGCATAGTAAGGGTGCTAGGCACACATCTTGGCACCCTCAGCACCACGCTCTCACCCAGGGAAAGGCAGAATTGCCCTCCTGTCCTTCTGTCCGGCTCGGATGTGGTCTTGCTTCAACAACTAACAATCCTCAGGCTCTTCCCTCCTCATGCAGACACCTGCTGGCTCATCAGGCCGCAAGTCAGAGCTCTGACATTGCAGAGCACGAAGCCACAGCTACAGTGCGGGACACCAACCCGGCCTGGCCTAGCCACGGGTTTCAGTGCCACGCTTGTTGGCATACGTGTTGAAGACTCGTCCTCATCCCCGAGCTCAGGCTCTGCCCAACAGGGCTCCCGGTGCTCAGCCCTCCCGCGCCGCACAGCCAGCGGGCCTTTCAGCTTAGAATAAACGGCAAAGCATTCACACTCTAAATCCGACCCGACGTCAAGAACCCGAACCACGCGCTGAAGCGGAGGGGCAGATCGGGTGTCGCATCACGCGCTCCGAGCTTTCCCAGGAACCGCAGCGCCGGGCGAGGAAGGCGCCCGTGCGGGGCGACGGAAGGCAGCGGCCGGCACCAACCCCTCCGCGGTGAGGTCAGCCCGGGAGCGCCCAGCCGCGCTCGCACCGCCCCTCCCGGCCTGAACCCTCAACCCCGCGCCGCTCGGACCGCCGCGCCGCACGCACCTGCGCCCGAGGCCCGGGCCGAGCCGAGAACGAAGATGCCGAAGAGGAGGAAGACGAACGGCGCCCGCCACGGCATGGCCCGGCCGGCAGCGCCCCACCGCCCGGCCCCGCCCGCTTCCCTGCCGAGGTCGCGGGGCGGCTGCCGGTGCCCGAGGAGCGGGGCCGGCGGCGGGCGGGCCCGGGGGGCCGCCTCACACCCTCAATCCGGCCGCCGACCGCCGAAGAGAAGCCAGGCGCGACAGAAGGCCGCCTCAAAGGCGGCTGCCGCCCGCCCGGCCCCGCTCCTCCCCCTCTGTTATGCAGAGCCCGCCCAGCGCCGTTCCCTGCCGGGCGCGGCACCGTAACCCGACCGCAGGCGGTGCGTGCGTGTTTTGCAGGCGCGGCCTTGTGCCGCTCTCGGCCGCGTGCGGTTGATGTGAGAAAATCTCTCCCGGGGCGGTTGGAGCCCTCTGTTCGCTTTCTCCTCCTGTGCGCAGCGCTGACGCGAGGTTAGGCCTAACCGCAGCCCTTAAATGGCGCTGGCCGCTCCGCAGACTAAATCGGAGGTCTTCAGGACAGGGGGGGAACGCAGAACTGTCCCAGCAGGAGGCCTCGCAGGGTGGGGATACTGAATGCTTGCTCTACAAAGTGGCATTTGGGCTGCGTGAAGGCTGCCTCAGCAATGGTTGAGGATCCACAGCCATCCAGTCTCCAGCAAAAGGCACCAGAGTGTGTCCAGAGAAGGGCAGTGAAACTGAGGAGTCCAGAGCACAAATCTGATAGGGAGCAACTGAGGGAGCTGGGGTTGATCAGTCTGGAGAAGAGGAGGTTCAGGGGAGACCTCGTAGCTCTCTGCAGCCGCCTGAAAGGAGGCTGTGGTGAGGTGGGGGTGGGCCTCTTCTCCTAAGTAACTGTGATAGGATGAGAGGGAGTGGCCCCAAGTTGCACCAGGTGAGGTTCAGGTTGGGTATTAGGAAGAATTTCTTTTGAGCAAGAGCAGTGAGGCAGTGGCACAGGCTGCACAGGGAAGTGGTGCAGTCACTGTCCCTGGAGGTGCTCAAGAGCCGTGTGGATGTGGCACTGAGGGACGTGGGCAGTGGGAGTGGACTGATGGCTGGACTGGGTGATCTTTTCCAAACGTAATGATTCCATGCTTCTATGAAAAAGAAACCAGAGAAGAACAACACAAACATCTTGTATGTGTAGCACTAGATAAAGCTGAGCAGCTCCTGGTTTACAGCTAACCTTGGATGAATCACTTCATTCTGCTTTAGTTCAGTTCTTCCTCAGTCAAAAGAGAGATTCCTTCCTTTATCTTATCCACATATGGACTGCTTGTATCAGCAGCAGGTTTTCCAGGCAAAGGTCTTCATCTCTCAGGGTAATAAAATAGGTTGGGATCTCAGCTGATGGCTTTTAGCACTGCCAGGTGTGCTAATAGCTGGAAACAAGTATAAACAAAGGGAAAAATCAGAGCAAGGGCTGAAAGCAGACTAGCTGATTGATTGCTTACAAAAATAGAACAAACTAGTTAGAAATGGTAGAGATTAAAGTTATTCAGTTGCAGGTCATATAGTTTTGTTTGCAGTGAACTTACCTGACCTGTTTTTCAGCCATTCTGGGAAGAGTGACTCATCTCTCAGTAGACTGCTGCAGTTCTACTTAAACCCTTTGCTCCACGAGCTTCACCATAGGATTTCCCCAGTGACATGCCTGTGCTGAAACACAGATCCTCGATTAATGGTTCTGAAGCCAGTGAATGGATTTTGGTCACATAGCATTAGCATGACTCGCGGTACTTTCCTGGTGACATGTGGCTAAGTGGGTAGCTGAGAAGGCCATGAACAGTTCGTGACTCTGAAGCATACATAGCAAAATGACTGAGCAAATCATGTCCAGAAGGCACACTGATTTTAGTGGCATCTCTAATTCATGCATTAAAAGAGATTCAGAGATGCACTCGAGTATGTTGAAAAGCAATTTCAATACAGCAATTAATTCTGAAGCTGGGTTTCCCTCTAACCTTGCATGGAAATATGTGTATTTACTGTAAGTGTTGGAGGAATCCCATAACCAGTAATCGTGTCTGTTTTCTCTTTGCCAAACCAGACAGGAAACTTTGAAGGCTTTTGGTTTTGTTCCATCTTTCTCCTTCCTTGAGCTTCCTTGTAAGCAAAAGCCCAAGGAAATTACTCTCCTGTGGTCTAAATGACTGTTAGGAAAGGAGTCACAGGGACTGGTTGTATGTGAAAAGGTTCACCAAACATGTGACTTTTAGCGTTGTGCTGAGGGTGGCTTCTTAAGCTGGTAGCTTAAGGAGAGCTGAGCGGGGAGGGGAGTGAATTGAGAACAGAGATGGAGAAAAGAGAGGACCGGAATCAATGTGATGCCTAATCCTTTCAAAATTCTTTTTTCTTGCTGGTCTTTCTTCAAGAAAGCATGAGAAAGTGAAGGTAGCAAGTAAAGGTAGAAGGAAATACATTTTAGAGGAGAAATGGCTCCATCCATCACTCAGAGCTAAAGGCTCTGAAAAGAACAATCACTGAAAAGACTTGTATGTAGAAAAAAAATCACTGTGGCACATAATAGCAATAAGTTGATTTAATAAGTGTGCATTTCACCTTTGCAAGCAACTTTCTGCTCTGAAATCCCAATCTCGCTGGTTGTTATGTGTTATGTGTGGATCAACAATAAAGATAGCAAAGCAACATCAAGGCAATTACTTTGCTGCACAAAAATTACTAGCACAGAATCTTGAAAAAATGATATCTACGAATGATAAGAAATATTCCCCAAATTTCACTTTTACATGTGAGATATAGAGGTGAAATAGTTCAGTTCAAAGATCCCAGGACACCAAAACCCAAGGAAAAGTAATGATGTTCTCCTGACATTAACACAAACCACAGAATCACAGAATCCCCCTGCTTTGAAGGGACCTATAAGGATCATTGAGTTCAACTTCTAGTTCCACACAGGACCACCCAAAAATTAGACCATTGCCAACTTTAAAAGAGAAAAACAGTTTAGAAAAATGCTTATAATATCTTGATATTGGAGATAAAGATTATATTGCATCTTTACATGTTGTTCATATTCAGTCATTCCATACGCATCACCACTCCACCTGAGTCCAAAATGCACGGGGGGGGATGTTATTATGGCTGGTGCTATGAAACTGATGAATATCTGCTTATTCTCACTCTCTGTCATGGCTTAATACAACTGGCCACGTCTTGGTCCCCACACAGTGGTTCTCCTTCCTATCAGTTGCTCTTTAGCACCCAAATCTGCCCTGCTCTCCTGCATGTGTGCAGTGATTCCTGTACTCAGAAGGAAATTCTGAATACAAGTCTTCACCCTACAAGGAGACACGAACATCCACCAGCTACAAGCTGTGCCCGGACCCTGCTCAGACCTCAGGAAGACTTAGAAATACCTGAGTCTGCATGTGATTGTGCAAATTTGGTATTCTGGTGACATTAGCTGAGGAACCGTGATATGGACCATGATGAGATATGCACATGAGAGCAGCGACTTGAGGAGCCTGAGTTCCCACCAGCTCTCTTCTAACTTGGTGTTTTTTTACCACCTCTCAGAAATCAGCCATTCTGGGAGCATGATAGAGGCATGCTGGTTTGGGAATCCACCCATCACTGAGAAAGGATTTGCCTTTGACTGCAAGGAGTGGTGGTACGCAGTCAAAAACACCAGTCATGAGAAATGAGGTTTTTAAAGACCATTTAAAAACGTTGCATTTCTCTAAGCTGCTTTTAAATAATCTTAAAGTAAAAATAGGTCTATGGCAATTATCTCACACCAGGAAAGAGATTTGTTTTGTATCTTAACCAGTGTTTGAATTTTAATTGGAGACTTGGCTTTGGCATATTTTGCATTTTGATTTTATAGCACATGAATATCTCTTTTTTAATTAGCAATTCCTATGTGGGCATAAGGTAGAAAGAAGAGGAAGAGATCAGGAGGAAAGAGATAAACACCTCCTGCCCTTGATCTGGTTTTTATATTCTGAATTAGAGCATTATTCAGTACATTTACCAGAATTGATCAACTAGAACAGACTTTCCTACAAGGTAATATACTTAAGCCCATTTAAGGTATGTATTTCAGCTCATTGTAGTGCTTAAATTAAGAAAAAAAAAAAAAGCCTTAGTGATTCATTTACAGTAATTATCTGATGAAATATAAGCTCCTAGAAGCAGAGAGGAAGTATAATCAGTCCTGGCGTGCTTACTTAAAGCAGCTTTCGTAACCAGCAAAAACAGGAGTGGTTGTGTAGATAGACAAAAACCCTATGTATGCTATGGACAAACTTGTCTACCAGACCATTATTTTTAAGACAGGGCATGTCTTTGTATCTGAAAAGTGACCGTTAAGGTAAGAAGGTGCTTAATGTGTTGTTGATGCTGAATAGTTACATTAGCAAAAAGATCACTCTGGCAGAGAAACAAAAACCAACTTCCTCAAATATTGACGTTCAGCTACAGCATTGCTTGGAAGACAGAGGTTTTGGTGTGGGAATTTCCAAGAGTCAAGAGTAGGAGGTTAAAACAGATGGATTCCGTAAGCAATGTTTTTTGAAGAGGGGATCCGGAAGCACATCAGCTGATTGGATATTAAGCATTATTTCTGGTGGTGGAAGGCATGCAGCACTGGGAGGTGACCTTAAAAGCATTTGCAGAAAACATGAGTATCCCACAGTGGTTAGATGTAAATAGCTCAGTTTTTTTCTTGGAGGCCCCCATATTGTGGGCACATCCAGGCCATGACCACATTGAAGGGACAGGGAGAGAATCTCTGGCTTCCCTCCTGACCACAAGGGGGGCTCCTCTGGCCCATTGCAAAAGGGCAGCCCGCTGACCCAACTACCTGGCACAATTCTATTCAAGGTTAATTGAACCTTGAATCACTGTGATGCCGACTGATTACTAGATCCAGCACAAGGGAGTGGGGAAAGATCTGGGAGCTTGAGGCTGCTGTTAAAGAGAAGTAGTTCTCATAAATCCAAACAGCTCTAAAATCAGCACTTCACAGAATGGCTTGGGTTGGAAGGGACCTCAAGGATCATGAAGCTCCAACCCCTCCCTGCCACAGGCAGGGCCACCAACCTCCACGTTTAATACTAGAGCAGTTCAACCTGGCCTTGAACACCTCCAGGGACAGGGCACCACAACCTCTCTGGGCAGCCTGTGCCAGCACCTCGCCATTCTCTCTGTAGAGAACTTCCCCCTCACATCCAACCCAAATCTTCCCTCCCTCAACTTAAAGTCATTTCCCCTTGTTCTGCCATTATCTATCCTTGTAAAGAGCTGACTCCCCTCCTGTTTGTAGGCTCCTTTAGGTACTAAAAGGCTGCATTGAGGTCACCCCACAGCCTTTTCTCCAGGCTGAACAAGCCCCGCTCCCTCAACGTGTCTTTGTAAGGGAGGTGCTCCTGTCCTCTGATCATTTTAGTGGCCCTCATCTGCACCTGCTCCAACAGCTCTCTGTCTTTCTTGTACTGGGGCCCCAGACCTGGACACAGTGCTCCAGATGGGGATGCAGGAGGGTGGAGTAGAGAGGGACAATCACCTCCCTCTCCCTGCTGGCCACCCCTCTTCTGATGGAGCCCAGGATCCCAGCTCTTCTGTAAAGCCAGATTGTAACCTGCAAGACTCTCTCACACTCAACAACATCATCCATTCTTTGATGCCTACTGTAGGTATCGTGCTTACTGAAAAGCATAAGTGGAGCTTTAGGACTCAACCTTCACTCTCGCCTACTTTGAAGGGGTGTGGCCAGCA